GAAAAATGCTTGTGTGAGCTCAGAGGCACAGTTATCAGCACAAACACAGGTGCCACAGCCTGTAGGAAGTTGCATGTTGACTGAGTTCCCAGTTGCACTTCACACTTCTGTATAATGATGATCATGGTGCATATGCTCACAGAAACCCTGCCAGTGGCTCACAGCTACCTGCAGCCATATCTAATCTCATTAGATGTGCAGGTGCAGATGTTGCACACACCTACACCTACATGGTCTCATTTAAAACTGAGCCTAAAAAAAAACAAAGATCTTTACTAAAATGAGTGTTTGAGCACATAAATGTGTGAATGTTTATAAAGCCTTCACACTATTGTGATACATTTTTCTTCTGTACATTTTTCAGTGCGATTCTCGTCCCACAGTTTTCAAGCCATTTCAACAAATCATACATCAAAACGTTCAGCTCTTTCAAGACAATTCTGCTATGACTTTTGGTACTGGTGTAACTTTGTCTTTTTGAAATATTTAGCTTTTTCTGCCATTTTTTCCTAATTGAAAATGAATTGAGCTCATTTGACATCCTTGAAATCTTTAGATGTGTTTACAACCTTTTACTTCTCCTTTTACATTTTGTTCTGGTTCAGCTTCTTTCAGCTTCCTTGTGCAAAATTAAACATTTTTCCATCTAAGTTCAGCTAATTTCAGCTGTTTTGTGTTCCTTTCAGATTCTTTCTGCTAACGACAACATTTTTGTGCTTCTAACTTCTTTCTGCTATTTTTAGCTTCTTATTCTCCTTTCAGCTATTTTTTTGCAAGTTTCAGCTTTTTCTATTATTTCAGATACTATATAGCTGTTTTTATACAAATTTTAGCTTTTACCGCTAACAATTCAATTCAAAAATACTTTATTAATCCCACAGGGAAACCATTTGTTGTTGTAACTCGTTATCCTCATTTCATTAAGCGAGGTTACAGATACTGATGGCTGTAGACAGGAAGGATCTCCTGCAAAGGTCCATCCCACAGTGGATCCTAAGAAAATGGCTGCAGATGTCGTCCGATCCGTCCACTCAGACTCGGCTGACCTCTCAGTTCCCCTCGGGTTGTAGGACCGCCCAAATGCCGGGCAGAACACCTCCCAGAGCGATGGCCACTCCTTCCAGCAGTTTGCTGAGCTCCTCGTCACTGCGGACAGCCAACTGTAGGTGCCGAGGGACGATCCTGTCTATCCGCTGTCATGAGCCGTGTTTCCTGCTAGTTCCTTGATCTCAGTGGTCAGGCACTCGAGCACAGCTGGCAGGTAGATGAGAATGCGTCCACAGGACATCCTTTTCAACTCATTTGAGATTTGGGGCTGTAGTTGAGATATTATTTGAGCTTTTGAGATGTTAATCAGCTGCTGTTGGTTGTAGAAAACTGCCTTGTTGCCATAGTTACGCATCATAACAAATTTCCAAAACTAAAAAAAGTTTCAGTAAAAACCCTTCCAGCTGCACAGCATCTGATACCAGAGGAAACAATCATCCAAAAGATGTGATTTACATCCAGAAAAAGAGGAATTAAAGTTTCCAAAAGCAAAATCTCAGAATGAAAGTAACAGAGCTGCTCCAACATGCAGCCACCTTGAGCGGCGCAATTCTAGAACTCCACAATTTTTAAACCCATTTCAACTTATTTTAGACTAATTCAGCAAAAATGTGCTCTTTCCACTTCCTTCAAGTAATTTAAGCTTCTTTCTACTTTTAAGCTATTTTTTTCAGCTGTTTTTTTTAAAAACTAATTTCAGCTGTTTTTCAGATAATTTCCAGTTGTTTGTGGTCATTTCTGCTTCTTTCAGCCTAATTGTGCAAACATATTTTTTCTGCTTTCTTCAGCTTGTTCTGTTTTTTCAGCTACCTTTTTAGTATTTTTTTTAAACTAATTTAAGCTGTTTTCAAATAATTTCCACTTTTTTGTGCTCATTTCTGCTTCTTTCGGCCTAATTAACTTTTCTACTCATTTCCGCTTATTATGCTCCCGTCAGATTAGATATGGCTGCAGGTAGCTGTGCTTTAACCGCATCCCAGATGAGGCGGGAACATTGAGTCCGAGTGGGCCATGTTCCGTGACTCAATTGCTGAAGTGGCTGCCTTGAGCTGTGGCTGCAAGATTGTTGGTGCTTCTCGTTGTGGCCGCCCTCGAACTCAGTGGTGGACATCCCGGGTTAAAGAGGCTGTCAAGCTGAAGAAGGAGTCCTATCAGGCCTTGTTGGCTGTTGGGACTCTGGAGGCTGCTGAGGAGTATCGGAGGGCCAAGCGGTCCACAGCCTTGGTTGTTGCTGAGGCAAAAGCTCAGATGTGGGAGGAGTTCAGTGAGACCATGGATAACGACTCTCGGTCGGCTTCGAGGAGATTCTGGCAAACCATCAGGCAGCTGAGGAGGGCAAAGCAGTGCTTTACTAACACTGTGTTCAGTGAAAGTGAGTGCAGTTGACCTCAACCAGTGAGGAATACTTCTCAGACCTTCTCAATCCTACTGGCACGTCTTCCATGGAGGAAGCGGAGTTGGGGACTTTGGGGTTGGTCTGTCCATAATTGTGTCTGAGGTCGCCAAGATAGTTAAAAAGCTCCACGATGGAAGGCTCTGGGGGTGGATGAGATTCGCCCTGCTTCCTTTAAGGCTTTGGATATTGTGGGGCTGTCTTGGTTGACATGCCTTTGCAACATCACATGGACATCGGGGGCAGTGCCACTGGACTGGCAGACTGGGGTGGTGGTTCCCCTCTTCAAAAATGGGGACTGGAGGGTGTGCTCCAATTACAGGGGCATCACTTTCCTTAGCCTCCCTGGTAAGGCCTATTCAAGGGTAATGGACAAGTGAGTCCAATCGTTGGTCGAACCTCAGATTCAAGAGGAAATGCGGGTTACGTCCTGGCTGTGGAACACTGGACCAGTTATTTATCCTCACTAGGGTCCTCGAGGGGTCATGTGAGTTTGCCCATCCAGTCTACATGTGTTTTGTGGACTTGGAGAAGGCATTCAACCGTGTTCCTCAGGGTACACTGTGGGGGATGCTCTGTGAGTATGGGATTGGGGGACCATTGTTATGGGCTGTTAGGTCCCTAGACAAGCGGTGCAAGAGTTTGGTTCGCATTGCCGGTAGTAAGTCGGACCCCTTCAGGGTGGGAGTTGGACTCTGCCAGGGCTGCACATTGTCACAGATTCTGTTCATAATTTTTATGGACAGAATTTCTCAGTGCAGTCAGGGGGCAGAGGGATTCCGGTTTGGTAGCCTCAGGATTCCATCTCTGCTCTTTGCAGATGATGTGATCCTCTTGGTGTCATTGTGCCGTGATCGTCAGCTTTCACTGGAGCGGTTTGCAGCAGAGTGTGAAGCAGCTGGGATGAGAATCAGCACCTCCAAATCTGAGGCCATGGTCCTGAACTGGAAAACGGTGGATTGCTCTCTTCAGGTCGAGGGTGAGGTTCTTCCTCAAGTGGAGGAGTTCAAGTATCTTGGAGTTTTGTTCACGAGTGAGGGAAGAATGGAGCGTGAGATTGGCAGACGGATTCGTGCAGCATCTGCAGTATTGCGGACTCTGTACCAGTCTGTTGTGGTGAAGAGGGAGCTGAGCTGTAAGGCACTACCTAGCCTAGGCTCACGAGCTTTGGGTAGTGACCGAAAGAATGAGATCATGGATACAGGCGATTGAACTGAGTTTCCTCCGCAGGGTAGCTGGACTCTCCCTTAGAGATAGGGTGAGAGTTCAGTTATCCAGGAAAGACTCAAGAGTAGAACCACTGCGCCTCCACATCGAGAGGAGCCAGTTGAGGTGGTTCGGGCATGTGTTAAGGATGCCCCCTGGATGCCTCCCCAGAGAGGTTCTTTGGACATGTCCAACTGGGAGGAGACCCCGGAGAAGACCCAGGACATGCTGGAGAGTGTATGTCACTCAGTTGGCCTGGGAACTCCTTGGGGTCCCCCCCAGAAGAGCTGGAAGAAGTGGCTGTGGAAAGAGATGTCTGGGCCTCCCTGCTCAAGCTGCTGCCCCCATGGCCGGACTTCGGAACAAGCAGAAGATGATGGATGGATGCTCCTTTCAGCTGATTTTTGCCAGCTTCAGTTATTTCATCTACTTTATAGCTGTTTTATGTTAATTTTAACTTTTTCAGCTAATTCGACTTTTTTTTATAGCTCATTTCACTTGTTTCTGGTAGTTTAAACATCTTTCTACCTTTTCAACTACTTTTCAGTTCGTTTTTGCTAAGTTCAACAGTTTTAGCTAATTTCCTAAGTTTGTGCTCATTTCTGCTTATTTAAATACATTTCAGCAAATATGTGTTCTTTCTGTTTTCTTACGCTAACTTTGGTTTGTTCTTCAATATCAGCTACATTTCAGCATGTTTTCAGCTAATTTCAGCTGTTTTTCAGCCACTTCTTCAGCAATAAGCATTGACACTGCATTTTTGCAAGAAATGCAATTTCTCTAGTTATTTTTGGTTCAGGGTAACAATGTTCAAAGAGCACAACATACAAGAGGCAGACATGTACAGATGTAAAGCAGATTAGTTGGCAAAAGACCAGGAATTTGTTTGATAGAACAGACTACAAAGGTTGATGCAAAGAAGAAACAACATTACCAGCCACCAGAGAAACCTGGCAGAATGAAAAAGATATACCCACATAAGTAAAACAAAGTTTCAAAAGTATATAGACAATCAAATATTTGGAATGAACCATTAATTTACATAGCACACTACACATTTTTTCAAACTGAAGCTAATGTTTAATCTCAGAAGTGTGTGTTAATGACCCTAAAATGCTGAACAATGCAAGATGCTTGGTGTAAATGTCGTAAAAGTTGTTTTTAATAAAACCACAAGTGAAAATGTGAGGCATGTAGAAATTTTGATTACACTACTATAATCATGGAACAGAAAAGATTTTGTTTATTAACATGGAGATATATTGCTACGAATACAGTACATTTTCCAATTTTAGCATTAAAACCGTGGAAATGTTTGGCTTCCCTTTGTCTGACACATTATACATTTGCATACCTTTTTGAAGAGCAAAGAGTCCTCCATGTGTTCTGCGTAGACTGAGGTGAGCCTGTATTGGTTTTCTATTGTTATATCGATCTGGTAACCAGTTAGGACGTAGCAGACTGTACGAAACTCTTGAATTTTTTTTTGAAACACCTCCTTTAGCCTCTGGTTCCTCAACTCTGAGCTCTCCATCTGCTTACGCAAATCTGAAACACACAAAAGTTGACAAAATTGATGAGACGAGTGTTTTTATGCTGCAAAGGAAATGTACTGCAAGGGCAACTGGTAATTATTTGGATACACAAAACTTAAAGTATAAGTGCAGCTGTAATGTTCAATGTATTCCTTTTCAACCATAATTGCAAAACTTCTCTATGGATGTCCACAATCCTAAATCACAACTCGCTAGGCTTATGCAGCATTGATGGGCAGCTCCAAATCAAATATATTCACCCTGCGGCAATCCATCTGCTCAGTTCTAAAAAAAAAAAAAAAAAAAAAAAAATACTACGATGCACAGGGGGAAAAAAAAAGTGAATAAAACAGTCGGCTGAGTATCCTAGCAGGGAACTCATCTTAAAGAGAAGAAACAGAATAGGGCATCTAGTTACATAATTTCTTGAAATGAAATTAGCAGTTAATTACAATTAATTTGGTGGCTTAATTTGGAAAGTCAGTGAGATAGTTCAGCGTGGGCAGAAGTGAGTCATGATGGAAGGATTTACAGTGATAGTATTACCTTTTATACAAGCTAATTAGGACATTTTGTGAAGGTGTGAGCTGACAGACGACTATCCTTAACTGTGTTTCAGTCATTTATGTTAACACACACATTTTTCTCATTAATAATTTCTGAAATAACATACATTTGTATAATTACACAATTAAACAGTCTAGTCAAGAATGTGTTTATTTTTTAAAACGTTTTAACTGGGGAGCTACATTATGGACAGAGTTTTGTTTACAACTATTTTTTGTACTGACTTAAAATTTACAAGTATGAAACTCGGAAACAAAACGTGCAGCTTAGACAGTGAGCCTGTGCAAACATAACTTCTAGGGCACTGAAACCGTGAAAGAACATAAGGTTACTGAACCACATTTTTATATTTCTGCAAAAGATTTTTCAGTGGGACAGGAGTATGTCCATCCATCTTCTGTCATTTATCTGCGGTTGGATCACAAAAGTAACAGGTTCAGGATGGAAACATATGCAGCTCTACCAACAACACTCAATGGTAATAAAAGTATTATTTTTATTTTTTTTAAATATATATTAATGCTTAAATCATGATTTCTTTCTGAAAAAATGATGCCAAATTATATGTTTGCATGTTCAAACAGTGCAGCACGGTGGCACAACTGGTAGAGCTGCTGCCTCTCAGCAAGAAGGTTGCCGGTTCAAATCCCTGTCCGGGGGCCTTTCTGGGTGGAGTTTGCATGTTCTCTCCGTGCATGTGTGGGTTTTCTCTGGGTACTCTGGTTTCCTCCCACAGACTAAAAACATGCATGTTAGACTGATTGATAACTTTAAATTGTCCTTAGGTGTGAGAGAGTGAAGTGTTGTTTGTCTCGTTTGTCTCCATGTGTCCCTGTGATGGACTTGCGACCCGTACAGGGTGTACCCCGCCACTTGCACTATGATTGCTGGACATGGGCACCGGTGACCCCTGTGACCCAAAATGGAAGAAGTGGGTAAAAGATAATGGATGGATGGATGTTCAAACAGCACGATGGCAGCACAGGGGCTCAGTGGTTAGCACTGTTGCCTCACAGCAAGAATGTCCTGGGTTCAATCCCGGCCGGGTTGGACCTAGGGTCTTTCTGCGTGGAGTTTGCATGTTCTTCTCGTGCTTGCATGGGTTTTCTCCGGATACTCTAGTTTCCTCCCATAAATCAAAAACATGCATGTTGGACTGCCTTCAGGTCCAGGCCTCCGTTGTAAAAGAGATCTGTGATCTCAATGGGATTCGCCTGGTTAAATGAAGGTTAATAAACCCATAAAAACCAAAGATTTGTGAACTGAAAAATAAACAAAACACTTCTAAAACCTAAAAATGTCACAAAATTCTATATTTTTAACCTTTAAATGATTAATTTAAAAGGTGATAAAGTAAAATAAATTATATATATATATATATATATATATATATATATATATACATATATATATTTTTAAGCAATGATAATGAAACTCACACGTTGCTCTAGCTCTAAAATGAAGATATATACAAAGGTTGCACCTGGTCAATAGTACAGGTTATACTTGTATGGATTAAATCTTTGAGTTTTAGAACGACAAGTTACTGAAAAAAAAAACATGAAGCATGCTCTGAACTTCTGAAAAGCATAGCTCATGTTGCTTTAAAGTCTTTATATGTATGTATATATATTGTACATTTCCAGGTTATAGATCTTTACTTTACTGGTTGATAGTTATTGATAATAATTTGTCCATCATTCTAATCTACACAAGTCATATTCAGCCATTTTAACAACAGAACAGCTAGAAAGTAAAAACTTCAAAGTCAGAGTGTGTGTCTTTGTGCTCAGCTGTCTTTTGGGTGAATGGGCTCCTCTCAAATGTCAATCAATGCTGCTAAAGTGTTCCAAGTCTTCAAGAATGTGGCAAAATGTTCATGTTATGAAAGCTGTCAAACAATTCTAGAAATGACTATACTTAGATAAAGCAGAGCTTTTTACTAATGCAGTATGCAGAAAAATGGACCTGCACACAGAATAAACAACATGCTAATGTATGTGAAGTCACAAATAAATATTTAGGTGAACACAATTAAATACATCTTGAATTACTAATTCAAAAATATAAAAAAGAAATGGTTGAATTTTGCCTTTGATTTGTCCCAAAAATTACAACAATTCAAGGAGTGAGTCAGGCATAAAAAACACTATATCAAAATACCTGACATGTTTTTTGATTACCTTAAACCTAAAATGCTAATAGAACTCAGAAATGATTTCACAAGAAGTTTTCCATGCTCTTCTAAAGCATCAAAACTCACTCCAGCAACCCTTATCTCCTCTATTTGCCCCTCCTGTCCCAACTCATTTGAACATATTTAGAGGGGCCTCTGTGCTTATGGGGCAGAAATGAAAAATACAGCTAAACAAATGATCAGAGATGGTAAATTTTTTAACAACTGACTTTTATTCTCAAGAAACATAGCAAAGGATTAATCATCTAGGAGTGATTTGAGTGTTACAGGAAAAACTAAACTAGCAGTTTAATTAATGGAATTGGGTCTGTTTTTTTGTGCTTAGAGATCTTGGCAAGAGATAGCATTCTGATTCAGACAAATGAATTTAGTTTATAGAAGTCAGCTTATCATGATTAATCTGGCTTTCTAAAAGCTACTATTTGCTTGAAAACGCAACAAGACGGGAAAAAGGTTCAGTGAGTGTGGTGCATGAAAAAAACTCTAGTGGCTGGTCACTGCACAACTCAGGGACTGATTAAGACATTTAACCACGCTAAGAAGTATCTGTCAAAAGGCCTGTCACAATAAACAATAAATCAACTAATCGCATGATAAATGAAAATTATTCACCTCATTTTTATTTATCGGCTTTATCGTTTCCTCGTGTCTCTCTCTTTCTACTGAAGACACTGGATGACAAAAAGCTCAACTCAGGTGCTCTTCACTGACCCCACCCTTTCTCTTTAAAATCATGTTGAACCATCCAAAATTGCGTTTTTGGATCATTAAAAGCAGCTAAGCTGAGAAGCTAAGCTACAAGCTAGGCCTGTTAGCCTAGCTTGTAGTCTTGTCGAAGCTCCAAAATTCACGGTTGAAACCCGTGCCTTTGTGTAAAAAGTTGTTTTTCTCTGCAAAAAGAAGCTGAGAACTTGTTTAGATTTTTTTATTTAAAGCTTTGTGTGAAAAACGCTATGCTAAAGAGCTCAAACCACACCGAGCGTCCGCATTTTGAGAACCGAAAAAAGGAGAGAGTTCATGTCACGCCCCCTTCCCATTTTTCTTACAGAGACGCGCTGCTCGCTTCTTCACTATCCATCCTTTAGATTCAAACAGTCTTATACTGCCATCAGGTGGTCAAAAAATGTACTATACACAAAACAAACACAACATTTCTTTTTAAATTTGACAATAATTACTAATTAATTGTTATATATATATATATATATATATATATTCATATATATATATATACAGTAGTCCCTCAATACTTTGCGATTCGTTTATCGCGGACTCGCTCTATTGCTTTTTCAAAATAAGTTTGGACATGACACACAATTGGCTGATTGTTGGATGAGCCACATTATCGGCATGGAATTTTTATTTACAATTTTTTTTTTTTTATTATTTAACACACACACACACACACACATATATATACATATATATACATATATATATATATATATATATATATATATATATATATAGATATAGCATATATATAAACACAGTATTTTTTTCTGTAAAATCTGAGCTCAGTTTTTTTTGTAATCTTAAACCTTTAGAAAAATTACCTTACTTTTGTCTGAACATAAAGAGAAATTACACAGTGCATGTGCATAATTTAAGTTTAAAAGAAGGAAACTACTAAGAAACTCTACTAATTTTAATGACATTAAGAGATAGATAAGAAAAAAATGTGTCAAGGGCAAAAGAAAATGACAACGAAGATAGTTTTGACCAGTAGTGCAAAAAGAAAAAAGGCAGCTATGAATTAGAATACAATATTCAGGAGAGAAATGAGACCAGTGAACAGGAGAGAAAGTCAGAGAGAGGCAGCAAGAACTGCACTTCAGAAGACAAATTGGCCAACAGACGTTCGCCAATGACCTGCCCAATTTCATATTTAACCCTGCCATAACTATGTGCCCTTCCCCTGCCTTTCTCACATAAACTATGAAGACAGGGGGTGAGTAACCTAAAATTTTAATGAAACATTTGCCTGTAGAAAGACCTCTTCAAAAAGAAAAACATGTTGGTGGCAGAAACTTTTTAATTTCCATTTGTTGAACACATTTCATCTGGGTTTTAAAAGTAGATTTTTGACTGCGTTAAAATGTCCTTTGAGAAGACGATGTATTCCCAAACATTTCCTAAACAAAATGCTTTTAATTGGAATATGCACTCTCAAATTCACTGGTAACTAATATACAGGTCCTTCTAAAAAAATTAGCATATTGTGATAAAGGTCATTATTTTCCATAATGTAATGATAAAAATGAAACTTTCATATATTTCAGATTCATTGCACACCAACTGAAATATTTCAGGTCTTTAATTGTTTTAATACTGATGATTATGGCATACAGCTCATGAAAACCCAAAATGCCTGTCCCAAAAAATTAGCATATAATGAAAAGGTTCTCTAAACAAGCTATTAACCTAACCATCTGAATCAACGACGTAACTCTAAACATTTGCAAATGATTCCTGAGGCTTTTAAAAACTCCCAGCCTTGGTCATTACTCAAAACCGCAATCATGGGTAAGACTGCCAACCTGACTGCTGTCCAGAAGGCCATCATTGACACCTCAAGCAAGAGGATAAGACACAGAAAGAAATTGCTGAACGAATAGGCTGTTCCCAGAGTGCTGTATCAAGGCACCTCAGTGGGAAGTTTGTGGGAAGGGAAAAGTGTGGCAGAAAATGCTGCACAACGAGAAGAGGTGACCGTCCCTGAGGAGGATTGTGGAGAAGGGCCGATTCCAGACCTTGGGGGACCTAAGGTCTGGAATAACACCTCACTTACCCTGGAGACAGTTCCCACCTGCCTGAAGACTGCCACCATCATCCCAGTCCCAAAAAGCTCTACAGTGACTGGTCTGAATGACTATCGGCCAGTAGCCCTCACCCCGATAGTCGCTAAATGCTTCGAAAAACTGGTCATGACTCACATCAAAACAACCATCAACATCAACGAGGACCCTCATCAGTACGCATACCGTGAGAACCGATCAACAGAGGATGCAATCTCCTCTGTGGTCCACACTGCACTCAACCACCTGGAGCAGAAAAACTCTTACGTCCGTATGCTCTTTGTGGACTTCACATCCGCCTTCAACACCATGATCCCCCAAACCCTGATGGACAAACTATCCACACTAGGACTAAGCCCCTCCATCTGCAACTGGGTACTAGACTTTTTAACAAACAGACCACAGTTAGTGAGGATCCACAACCTCTCCTCCTCCACCATAACCCTCAGCACTGGCTCTCCTCAGGGATGTGTGTTGAGCCCCCTTCTGTTTACTCTGCTCACATATGATTGTGCAGCTGCCCATCCGGGCTGTCACATTGTAAGGTTTGCGGATGGTACAGCGGTGGTGGGATGCATCGCGGACAATGGTGGGTCCAGCTACGGGCAAGAGGTGGAACACCTGGAGAGCTGGTGCAGAGAGAATAACCTTCACATCAATGTGAAGAAGACAAAGGAGATGATTGTGGACTTCAGAAGGAACAAAAACACCTACACCCCCCTGAACATAAGAGGATCTGCGGTGGAAGTGGTCTCCAGCTACAAGTGCTTGGGTGTACACATGAATGACAACCTCAGCTGGAGCAACAACACCACCAGCCTGATCAAGAAAGCTCATCAGAGACTCTACTTCCTCAGACGGCTGAGGCGAGCTGGTCTGGGAAGCTCAGTCCTCACCTCCTTCTGCAGGTGTGCAGTGGAGAGCATCCTGTGCTCGAGCATCAATGTGTGGCATGGAGGCTGCACAGCTGCAGAAAGAAAAGCTTTGCAGAGAGTGGTGAAGGCTGCACAGAAATCTGTTGGAATCAGTCTCCCCACCATCACAGACATCTACACCTCCAGATGCAGGAAGAGGGCCACCTGCATCATGAAGGACCCCACCCACCCAGCACACACACTTTTTGCCCCACTCCCCTCAGGAAGGAGGTTAAGGAGCATTAAGTGTAGAACCACTAGACTGAGGAACAGCTTCTACCCTGAGGCTGTTAGACTCATGAATCTCTAACTAGAATAATCAGTGTGAAAAACCATATCATGTTGCTGCTGATCTGTTTTATGTTGCTGCTGATCTGTTTCAATGTTGATGTGTTCATGCGTGCACATCTGCTCACAGACTCATGTTCATGTTTGTGCTGATGTTCAATGTTTTTATGTTATGAGTGCTTAGTGTATATTTAGTTGATGTTTTTCTTAGTTCATATCTTAGATGTCATTACTGTTTTTCTTATACATTTTATTGTTGGATGTAACTGGGACCCTGCGTACATAATTTCGCTCCACCACATGTACCACATGAGGTGCGAATGACAATAAAGAAACTCTGACTCTGACCTGCGGAAGCAGTGGACTGAGTCTGGAGTAGAAACATCCAGAGCCACCGTGCACAGGTGTGTGCAGGAAATGGGCTACAGGTGCCGCATTCCCCAGGTCAAGCCACTTTTGAACCAGAAACAGCGGTAGAAGCACCTCGCCTGGGACTGCTGCTGAGTGGTCCAAAGTTATGTTCTCTGATTACAGTAAATTTTGCATTTCCTTTGGAAATCAAGGTCCCAGAGTCTGGAGGAAGAGAGGAGACACAGAGTTCACATTGCTTGAGGTCCAGTGTCAAGTTTCCACAGTCACTGGGGTGTCATGTCAGCTACTAGTGTTGGTCCACTGTGTTTTATCAAGGGCAGGGTCAATGCAGCTAGCTATCAGGAGATTTTGGAGCACTTCATGCTTCCATCTGCTGAAAACCTTTATGGAGATGAAGATTTCATTTTTCAGCACGACCTGGCACCTGCTCACAGTGCCAAAACCACTGGTAAATGGTTTACTGACCATGGTATTACTGTGCTCAATTGGCCTGCCAACTCTCCTGACCTGAACCCCATAGAGAACCT